ATTTTCAAAATCAACAAGGTTTGATGTACATTTTAAGCTATGATGTGTCTGGCACCTCAGAGTCCCTTTAATATTAGAATAATAATTGTCATAGTTTTGATTCTATATTGCTTGTTTTATGTGATTAACAATAGTACCAGTTGTCATATAATCAAATTAAACAATTTCAAGAAAAAAATGAGTGTTTTTTTTCCCCCATCCCGCTACTACGGACTCTTGCCATTGCGGACACTAAATTACGGTCCCGAGGGTGYCCGTAATAGTGAGAGTTGACTGTAGTTGTAATATTAAAGAGGATGTTGCAGTTCCAGTGGAAAACATCGATAATATGGAGGTAAATGTGTTATGGCAATATAACTTACACCTCAATAAATTTTACACACTTGACTTTGTGAGCTTTGGAGATTAATAACTAGTGTTCCAATTTACCTTTAGGGCTACCAAGAAAACTCTCAGGATGAACTTAATATAAAAGAGCTGAGGATGCAAGTAGATGGACTTCAGAAACAAGTACAGTCATTAAACGATGAATGTCAGTATCACAAGAGCAAATTTTTTCTCTCAATTACTCCATTGATTTCACTTTGATTTGTCATTTGGGAAAGAGAAAAAATTCAAGTCTGGGTTCTTATAAAAAGCGTTCRTACAACAATAGGCAGCACGTTGCAGACCTACGCTTTTTCTTTCATTTTTCAAACGTTTTGAGCTCATTTTTACTTGAACAGTCACCGGAACTACCRTATAAACTTTTCAAGCCTTTCCAGATGACTCAAGGTCAGCCTTGCTTTCATGCAAATCCAAGATGGTGTCCAGATAACCGTGAAATGGACTATTTAATAAAATTAAATTCATCTAAATCATGATTCTACAAGGTCTCAGAAGTATTTGATTCCTGCAAAAGTTGTTCTGTGTCCACTATGTTTACCCCTTCCCTTGGTTGCATGCTAGCCAATTATCTTGCAGGACATACACCTGAATCCAAAATGGYGCACGAGCGATTGTGTTACATGTAAACGAGGTATCCAGTGCCAAATGAGTAATCCAGTATCGCTCGAAAGCTGGATTCTCATTCCTTTTTAATCCAATCATGTAACTCGTTCCGAGCAGTACGGGCTGGCTCCGGCCAAATGCAAAGAAACAATATCGTGCCAATGCAAAGTATACACTTGTTCACTTGTTCTGTCTTTCTTTTCTTCTTACATCCAGGATAGTGACAATTTTGAAGAATCAATTTATGAGAAAATGCTGTTAATTTGTAAATTTGGCCCTGGATGCCTCATTTTCAACTGGCCGTGCGCCATTTCGAAATTTAGGTGTATAACAATTAGTAATCTTCACTGGAAAAAGCTTATTTTGGTTCAATAAAAGAAAAAAACAATCAAAAACAAAACAATCTTACGTTAGGAAGCAAGCTACTGGCTATGACCAAGGAACATTATGCAAATAAATTACATGTTGTTATTTGATGCCAGTCCCTCCTTCCTTATTTCAAATTTAGACTGTTTCTTCTAAGGAGCATTGAGAATATTACCATCACAGGGGAAAAAACCGGATTCCGAAATTGGGAATTGTTGGGAATTTCCTTGAATTCCCAATTCGAACACCAATGTTAGGGATTTATTGTTGGGAATTTCCTTAAATACCCAATAGAAAAACAAAATTCCCAACAAACTAACATGGGGAATCAGTGCCACGTTCCCAATTTCGTTCTCTCTGGGAATTGGATGGGAATTCAAGGAAATTCCCAACAAATTCCCAATTTGGGAATCCGTTTTTTGTCCTGTGCATGAGGAGATATAATCAACGATTGTCTTTATCATCACTTACCAATCTCGAAGAATTGCCCATCCTTCATGTACTTGATAGAAATAAGCCTTGTAATAATATACCCCAACAAACGAGAATGATAAAAAGTCATGTAAATCAGCCATAAACTTGCAGAAACACAAGCGATCACCAGAAGTATTAATCCACCATCTTCTTTGACAGTATTTGGATCAGGAGGAGTCGTAGTTGAGACACTTGGAGAAAATGTTGTTAGGTTGTTGAAAGGAATCGACATCGTGTGTTTGGTTATAGTTTGATCGCCATTAATGTTTGATTGGGAATACAATGGTTCTTGTGCTGTTAGCAGCAGCTATTCAGGGATGAATTCAAAAGGCTGGAGACTAAAAGAAGTAAGAAAGGTTTATGCGATGCAGTCACATACCATAAGACATCAAACATGCTTTTGATATGGCAGACAACCTAACGCACTGAACTCACATATTTTAAAAAGCCATCTTAGGTCAGATTCTAGAAGACTTTAAATACATAAATTCTACAGAACGACCGCCATCTTGATTTACTTCATGGGTGTAAACCAGAAACAGTCGTTTCCAGTCTGCCTACCACAGGGAACCCAATGTCTAGAATCACAAACATTTGTAGCGTGGCAGAACGGTCCTCTGAAGTTGAAGCTAAGCATGGCAGAACTGTCCTCTGCACAGGGAGCCTAGTCTCCCCCACAGCCGCTTTCAGTGTCGTCACGCAACGCTTTCTCCCCTGACTAGGGGAGAAAGCCATGCGTGACGACACTGAAAGCGGCTGTGGGGGAGACTACAGGGAGCCCGGCTTGGTAATGCTAAATCGGTAAAACGATCACGTTTCATATGTTGATGACATTACATAATAATCGTAACTCAATACACCCCTATACAAACAGTCACTACGTAATAGAACTTGTAATGCAATAGTGTTAGACGCCCCGTAAGTGCGTTACACTTAGCCGTTATGTATTTGAATTTGAATTTGAATTTACTGCGTTACAAACAGTGGTGTTCTATTACGTAGTGACTGTTTGTATAGGGGTGTACTGAGTTACGATTATTACGTCAATCTTAGACCGCGACCGGCTGCTGGGCATTTAGACACTGCGAATAAACAATTGGAAAAATACACTTACACTAGAATGATTACAATAATGACCTGTTAAATAAAATTTTAATGTTGATAAACATAGAAGATATGTTCTACTAGCATCTATTAGTTTACTAACTATTTGACAGGTTCATTGCTATCACTTTATAAGTCTGTTTTACTCAAATGTTGAAGATAGCATATCATAAAAAGTCAAAACAATGGCACTAAAGAATTTGTGGGTCATTGTTGATCATATATGAGCCTGACTGTGATGAGTGTCAAGGCTTCATCCAAACCTTTATATTTTATGAAGTCCTATACACTCATTAGTATGCTTTATGCAGACACTTGGTTTTTTTTTTCTTCACTAATTTAAAGAGGGTAGCACTAAATAGTATACAATACTAATAAGTGTGTGGCCCTCGTTCAATGGAAAATTATTATTATTATTGGTAATGGCATTTGTAATATATCTTTTTTTTGAAACACTTCAGTTTTGTTTATCAAATGATGTCCTAAATCACATCACAGTAGTCAGTTATATAATTTTTTTTTWAAATTCAGTAAATTTAAAATGCATTCAAAGAAATACTTCACCATTCAACTATTAATCTTATTTAGCTAGAATATATACTGAATTACACTTTGCTTCTAATGTGCATCTAAAGAGTAACTTATTTCAATTATTTATATGCATTGTTGTACTGGAAGGAAAAAATAGAGGTTTGTAGTTTGTTCATATTAGAATTTGGTATGGCTCATCTATAACATGACTATTTTTAAGGTTGGTGAAGGTTTTGTTGCATGTGGAATACCAAGGCTGCAATGCACTATGTACAATGTATAGGTCACTACAAGGTGCATACTTTCTTCAGTCCTGACATTACTACATATCTATATAATACAAATCAAGCTTGATAATTGACAAAACAAAAACTTTGCCAGCTTTATAAAAATAACGATAATTTTTTTCTAATTTGATTTACTCTAACAGCACATGTTCAAAATTTTATTACCTCAGAACTTGGAGGCCACAGGGTTGTAAGTATTTTATTCCCTATTAAAGTGTATATTGAGAAGGAAAAAAATTCACTGAAACACTTCTATCTGAATAGTGTAATAGTAAATGACACTGTAGTGTTTTTGTCCGGTGAAGAGGGGGGGGGGGGGGGGACTCCCATATAATTGAAG